TTGTTGCAATGTTCTGGCAACCCTTTATGGACTTTTTGCTGACACCAGGATTGAAAAGTTGATTTTTATGGATTTGCTTACAGATAAGGGATGGGATCTGGGGTGAAGAGATATCTGTTTGTAACCTCATAGGGGGTGAAGAGTTACTAAATTTGTTTATACTTGTGATAAATGTTGGCAGTCACTTCTTTATATGTTTCTTTTCTTTTTCTTTAGTGTATTCTTTCTTTCCTTGTTTTCCCTGCACTTTGTATTCTTTTTTCTATTTTCTTCTCCTTCTCTAAGTTTTGTTTGTATTCGTTTTTAACTATTGTAATCAAAATTCTTAATAAAAATTGTATTTGCAAGATAAGATAAAGGTGCAGAGATTTGGGTTAAACCGCGGTGGGCGCAAAATCCAGCGGTCCATTTATTGCAGGGCAAGAGGTGTCACAGCCTTGTAAAGGCTCTGCATTAGCTTCCAAGAGTTGCCTGCGTGCCATGCAAAGTGCTAGTTCTAGTCTACAAAGCCCATGTGGCTTAGCTTGCGGCCTCCTCCTCCTCCTCCTGGTAAAATTGGCCCATTCAAGAGTCTCGGAAGAAACTGAAAGTCAGGGGGCTGGGAGAGGTTTTGTGAGCGGTTGCGGCCTGAAACTCTTTCTTTCTCGGTCGCGGCCCCATTTTGTGGAAGGCACCTGCCTCATTACCTTTCTGGAAACTGATCTAGCTGGAGTTTTCCCAGAGAGTATTTGGGGAATAACTGGGATGGTATCTGTTTTTTGATGGTTCAGATGATTTTATCATCGTTTTATATCTTGTTCTGTCATTTTTGCTTATGTCTCTGTTTTATTTATTTATTTATCATATTTATATAGCCGCCCATCTCACACAAGGTGACTCTGGGTGGCGTACAACAATTAAAAAATAAATACGTAAAAACAACTACATATAAAAAACAGTAGAAACCCACAAAACAGGAGGGGATGTTGACTATCAGGTCCTTAGGGATTACAATGGCATACAAAATTCATACCTACCTAGATATCATGGTCTAGGGATATCCCTGGTCCAAAATTCCTAGTGGCTCCTTGGCCATTTGCCACGCTTATGGGCCAATGCCCTTCTGCCCCCCATTTCCCCAAAAGCGCTTTATGTGTCAGAAAAACAGAAGCCACACGTGTCTGTCTGGACTTCTTTCTTTTGCCCCAGGTCAGCTTTGATTGTCCTGAGGAAAGGGATCCTGTGCTTTGACTACTCCCCTGAAATGAATATTCTTGGTATGTTTTTTTGAATTGATACTTTGAAAGAGCTTTTCCCAATCTGAAGCCTGTCAAACGGGGTGCATTTCAATGTTGAGCCGGCTTGGCTTGCTGGCTGGGAATTCTGGGAGTGGAAATCTGGTCTGGTGACTTAGAAACCCAGCCCTTGCCATCTCGGTAACGCAGAGGAGCAGAGGTTTCAAGTGATGGTCTTTGTGTCCTCTCTTGACAGTGACGGGAGGATATGAGCCGCTGATCCGAATTTGGAACCCATACGTCACCAACAGTCCCATCACTCAGCTGAAGGGCCATTCCACTGCTGTCACTCACCTCATGATCAATGGGCAGAGGAACACCATTGTCAGCATCTCCAAAGACAAGGTGGGCATTGGTGAAGCAGAGAAGCTCACTGTGGCCATGACTCAGTTTGGTGCTGTCCTGCCCAAAAGGAAGGATGAGGAATCTTCTGTTCCTCATGGGAATGGGGTGGGTGAGTTGGATGTCCCACGTATGTTTCAGTGGAGGATAGGCTTGAAGACCTGGTTGTGTGCCTGGTCCTCGGACCCCGTATGTGTTAAGGGCCCCATTTCCTGGTAATGTTAACACCTGTGGTTATGATTTTTCTTGGCTGCTATATATATTTATTTTTTGTATTGTGTTTGTATTTGGTTTTAATTAATTTTATGATTGTTCGCCACCCAGAGTCACTTGTTCGAGATGGGCGGCCATAGAAATTGAATAAATAAATAAATAAAATCAGTGAAGGCTTTTTATTAACCATGGAGCAAGCTTGGAAGCTTTGTTCTTTGTTGGGTCCATAGAAGTCTGTGGAAGGATAGGTCCAGCGGAAGCAGAGAGGAATCAGTGCAGCTGGGTCTGTGTGACCAAGGCAAGAATGACATCACAGAATCATAGACCATAAGGGCTGGGACTGACCTTGGAGATCATCTAATCCAGGGCTCCTCAACCTAGGCGACTTGAAGATGTGTGGGCTGGCTGGGGAATTCTGGGAGTTGAAGTCCACACATCTTCAAGTTGCCAAGGTTGAGAAACATTGATCTAATGTAACCCCCTGTCCACTACTAGAGTGTCCCCAACAGATGGCTATCTAACTTCTGTTTAAACATCTCCAGCCAAGCAGAGTCCACCACCTGTTCCATTGCAGAACGACTCTTATCATTAGGAACATGTTTCTGAATACCCACTGAAATCAGCTTCCTTGTAATCTAAACCCCTTGTTTCTTGTCTTGTCTCCTGGACCAACTCTGAGCAATTCTGCCTCATCTTGTATAAGTATCTGCTAACAGGTCTCCCTGAAGTCTTCTCTTCTCTAAGATAAACATACCAAATGCCTTCAACGGTTCCTCCTGAGGGTCCTCTTCCAGGGTCCTGATCATCTGAGTTGCTCTCTGCTGGAGCTTCTCCAGTTTGTCAGTGGTAACCAGAACTAGATGCAGTGTGATCTGACCAGCACAGAACAGAGAAGAACCATGACTTACAATCTTAACCCTACACTTCTGAGATGCAGCCAAGGATGTATTTGCATTTTTTATAGCCGTTGGCTCACCTTCCACTTGTGACCCACCAAGACACCCAGATCCTGTCGCCTGGGTCACCTGTGGTAGTAGGAGGTGGTCATGCAGTTATCCAGAGGCTAAGTTACAGAAGTACATTTATAGATCAAACCACCACTTTGAATTGTGGCCAGGCCAGTAAAGGGCCTGCAGCAGAAGTAGATCTGCTCTCAGCATAAAGTGCCAGTTAACGGAAAGGCCACTGCATTTTTGCACCGACTGCAATGTGCTTCCCACTTACCATCTATGCCATCCACCCTGGAGCTTGCCTGGGGCATGAGATGCATCGGTTAGAGACTGACTTGCCTCAGCCATCTGCTTCCTTACTAGTCCTTTCACTGTGCATATGGCAGGGAGCTTGCAGCGCAAAGACACTTGCCAGGGAATACATCATCCAAGAAGCTTTGCCATGGAATCACATCCAAGACCAGTTTGGTTCCCCCCACCCCACCTCCATTCTTAGAGTCCACAGACTGGAGAGCACGGGCAATCAGAATCTAATTTTCCAGGATGCTGGACAAACTACAGGGACTTGATGCAACCAATGTTAAGGTCACCTTTTGCTAACCTCATGCCCCTGCAGGTATGTTGGGAATTCTCAAGCCAAGCTGGGTAGAAATGCTGGGAACTGCAATCCTCACACACCTGGGAGAAGCCAAGTTTGGAAAGGCTGTCCTATGTCCTTCCTTGGATCACTAACCTCCGGGCTGCGTGCCCCACTTCCCGAGTTGCAAAGAGCCTTTAACGGGAAGTTGTATAGCCTGGAGCCCTACACCCCATCGGACTGCTGTCGGTTTTCACCTGCTCTGCATAATCTGGATTGACAATCAGGGCACAGATGTTGAGGGCCTTAGTATGGAGGCAACGGGTCCCCTGGGGAACCTGGTTCAGGAGCTGCTGCTTTCCACTTTTCTGCTTCAAGGAGCTGAGTTCCCGTCTGATGCTGGGGGTCTGGGGTCAGGCTAAGCCCCGTCCTTCTCTACTGGATTCCTGGCTGGGACCGCAGTGACCCTGGCTTAAGCCAGACGTGCACTGGAGCCTCCAGAGAGGTCCCCTTTCACTGAGGCTTTCCTTTCAGGCCTTGGTTTCTCTTCTTGCCTCTCCAGAATATTCGCGTCTGGGACCTGCTGGATCATTTCTGTTTACAGTCAATCCATGGCAGGAACGTCCCGCTGGGCAACTGTCCGATCTCATCTGTGTACTACGACCGGCTTCACAATATCTTGATCTGCGCCACTTACAAGGTGAGGGGGTGGCTAAGGGCTGGCTGGGTGGGGAGAAGGTTTGGGGAGAATCAGAGCTCCTTGGCTGGCTTATAGCTCAGGATCCCAAGATCTGGCACTGCCCTGTTTGGTCTGGACAGACGTTTCTCTGCGCTGCTCTGCCTGCCATGAATCGCCAGAGGGCCCCCTAGACGTATGACCCCCTATGCAGAGCCAAACCATGCCAGGAGGTCCAGGTCTGTGTTGAATTTGGAGAGACCAAGCCCAAGCCAACCAAAATCTGTTTCCTGTACTGTAAAATGCACCGCAGAAGACTCAACCATATGTATTGTGTTGGCTTCCCTGTAAGTTTTTTCTGCGGGTGCTTGAACTAAGTCCTGACTTTTCTTTCTAGCAGAGCAAGGAAGGGGAAAGAATGGATCACTGAGAAAACAACCCTGTTTGCTCACTTTTCTTTTTCCACTCATTGTTTTTCTGGGCAGAGCTATAGTTCACTCATCTGCCTTTTTTGCTTCTGACTCCACGTAAGATGCTGCTATTTACCTAAAAATCATCTTTTCCAACTACAGATTTTATTAAAAGGCCTCAGCTTTCATGTATGTCTTCAGATAAAATTGGTTAGTTGGAAAAAGATGCCACCAGACACCTCCTGATTTTTTGCTAGACTAACACGGCTCTCCTCCCACAATGGTATTTAATCTGGGCCCCCCTAAATGGCTCGAGGTCCAAATCTTTAACCTGGAGAGCCAGATCTTACACAACTGGGGCGTTACATTCACAATGCCTAGTTCTAAAGAGGACTCCTGTATTTTATACTCACCAAATTATATTTCATGGCCAGAGAATCCACGGCGGGGAAGGTCCTGTGCATCCTTGCTGAAATTCCCTCTCCTCGTACGCCATGATTCAACTATAGATTTGAGGTTTATCTGGAGAAAGGGAATGAGTAGGAAGCGGATACTAGGGCAGGAGGCTGTGTGTGGGGGGTGGTAGTCAAAAAAGTCAAGATTGCAGCCACGTCTGTGCAATCGAAGCCACACCCTTTTGCATGTGCATTGCATGCCCACCGTGGTGAAAAAGGGGCAGAGCTTCAGGGGCGTAGTGGTGGCCGTGATCCTGCAGGTGCTCCTGGAGAGGGTCAGAATGGACGAAGGTTGGTCAGGGTGAAGGCAGGTCAGGCACGAAGATAAAATTGCACCTTCCTCAGAATGGGACGGACCACCCAGTCTTCTGTTTTACGAAGTTAGAAGCCCCCCCAACTCCAGCTGACTCCAAGCGGCATACAGTTCCCACTGCTGTGAACGCAGATCGAAAGCCAGCAACGTAGCAATATAGGAAATAGCCATCGGGCAACCCTGGATGAACCATTAAGCAGGGCAAGCCCCTGTTTAGGGCCCCAAGGGAAGGGGGGCATTTTGGAGTTTCCCCCCAGCCACTCTTTCCCTGCCACACTTGACTTGAGTCAGTTTTTTTGTAATTGCCCTTATCTGCTCTCATCGGCATTGTTAAAAAGAACATGTTTTCTTTGGCGGGGTTGAAAGATTAAAGCTTATAAGTTTGGTCTGAAGGTGCGGTCAGAGACCACCTTTCTTTCCGTCCGATGGCGTGAGAGTTTTGCTTCGGTCAAGGGGCACCACTGTAAGGCTGTGCTGAGGGCAGCGGCTGGCCTCAAGCTGGCTTGGCCGTTGGACAAATCATAGAGAAAAAATGTAAAGAAAAGGGGAATGATAATTTGGGGGCAAGCGGCTCCAGAGGATGGTGGCCGGAATTGACCAGGCATGCTTCTGCGAGCCCACCCTACCCCGTCTTCCCAGGAAGGCGGACGCTCTGGGGAAAAGCCACCCCGCAGAGATCCAGGCCCCAATCCGTGAACCGCTTGGGGAGAAGGCTGCTCCCGGTTCTGAATCGCCCCTGTTGCTTCCCGCTGGTGTAGTTAGGAGGCCTGAGGGTGCTGGGGCAGGTGTTCTGCAGGGGCAGACGGCCCCCAGCGCTGACGAAGTGTGTCTCCTCCCTTTGCAAAATGTCCCCCTCCCTGCCGCCCTGGTCCCGGTCCCATTTTGTTGCAGCTTGGTTTGTTCTTTGGCACTGAATTCACCGAAGTGGAGCTCAAGACCCAGGAGCAGCCGCTCTGTTGCGCCCTGTACAACAAGATCTTTAAACAGGTGATGAACTGCGGGGAGACGTGAAGCCCTGTGTGCGTGTGTGTGTGTGTGTGTGTGTGTAGCTGAAGGCTCCCCTTTAAGGGAGCAGAGGTGTCCTTCTGCAAACCAAAGATCTGGCTGGGGGCGCACAGGCTTCCCTCTTGTTTCTCCAAGAGCTCGGTTTTGGGCCACATCGATGACCCTCCGCATCTATGTTTGTATTCAAGGGATGGATGGTTACATCCTGGCTGCTTTTTCAAGAGAAAAGCAATGGAGAGAGATTGTTATATGTAGAATTAAAGATCTTGAAGAAATATGGTTGGCCTTGGTTAATTATGTTACAGGCAGGCCTTGCTTAACAACAGTAATTGGGACTGGAAGTTCCACTGCTAAGTGATGTGGTCGTAAAGTGCAATGTCACATGACCGTGCTGCTTAGCAACGGCAGTTCTGGCGGTCCTGGATGCCGTCGTTAAGCAAGACCTCACATGACTTCATGCCGACTTCTCCACTGACTTTGCTTGTGGGAAGTCAGCAGGAAAGGTCGCAAATCACGATCACGTGACCATGAGACGCTGCGACGGTCAGAAGTCTGGGCTGGCTCCCAAGTATCTGCAGGGGTACCGCAATGGCCAGAACTTTGAGGACTGGTCGTAAGTACCACTTGTTCAGCACTGTCACAAGTCTGAACGGTCAATGAACAAGTGGTCGTTAAACAAGGACCACCTGTATTTTGGTTATATCTGCTATTCTGTTTCCTGCTCTGGTTGTTGATTGTATTTTATTTTCTATTTCCTTGTTTGTGTGCTTCTACAAATTGTAAGTCACCCAGAGTTGCTTTTTGGCAATTGGGTGGCCATCTACATCTAAGAAATAAATAAAAATGGAAATAGAGGCCCACTTTCTTAAAGCTAGAAGGAAAATAGTAGATACATACTTGGAGAGCATCAAGTGGATCTGTAGGGGGGAAGAGGGAATGGCCTTGGAGGACAGGAGGAAGAGCTGCTATCAAGGCAATGGTCAGATAAAAGGGGCTTGAGCCTGTTCCAAGAGACTAATCTGAGAAAGGGTCTCAGACAAGCCCCTCCCATATAACACAATCTGCAGCTGAGATATAAAAAAACAGTCAGCGCTCAATGCAACCACTGTACAGGCTCACCTGGATCCCAAGGCCGGCTGTTGTGTGTACTGAACCCAGCGGGAGAAGGCGAACTAATACACCTGGTTAAAAGGGGAAGGGAATTCTTTAGCTTGGCCATCTGTGCTAAACTTTTGCTTCATGACAAAAGGGGTTGTGGATGGGATGTGAGACAGAGAGGTAAATTAGACTGAGAAAGGTCAAAGGTGCAGAATCATCACCCTCAGACCCAAAAAAGGGGCAATAGAAGCCTTCAAGAGACTGGGAAGGAGAAACAGAGACAAAATCCACAATGGGCTTAGAGCATGTCTGTGTGGATGCAAAAACACTAGTAAGTTACCTTCAAGTGCTATGTTTGTAGGAAAAAAAAACCCCATTCCAGTGTTTGCTAAGGGAGACCTTTGGCCTGATCCAGCCATGGGCCTTTGCTTATGACCCTGTGTCCTCTTGGCTCCCAACCCTTTTCCCAACTGGGTGCCAACTCAAGAGAGGTTTTTCCTGGGGCCCTGGGCATCTGCAAGGGCCATCACACGGTCTCAGTTGCATGATGACATCATGGCAATGCATGACATCATTGTGGCTGGTTTTGGATGCCTTTGCAGAGAAGCAAAAGGGGAGGGATGTTACTCTGGTGGAGGCTGGTGAGGAGATGACTTCTTCTAAGAAGCCTTTGAAAAGTCCAGTTGGGTTGTTTAAGAGAAGAGAAGAGCAGTTGACCCTGAGGAAGTGGAAAAATGAAGGGAAAGGAAAGGAGATAATCGGGATGCTTGAAAAGAGAAGAAAAGGAGCCACGGGTTCCCTTGAGAAAAACTCAGTCATTCTGTAATTAAGGAGCGGGGAGGACATTTGGGGATGGACCTCTTTGAAGAGAAGTAGCTCATCTCTTACCTCATCTGTTCATACAACTGGAAGTGTTTATTGCTCATGAACAACAGGTCCTCTGATTGAATGGAGGCAGAATGCTCTCCTTTCCTTCTTGCTGTCTAAGAACCAATAAGAGAAGAATGACGTCAATTTAAGATCAAACTTCAGCATAAGAAGTTGATCATTTTCAGGTGGAGGCAGAAAAAAATTAAAATATATTTATTTATTCCCATAATAAATGTGGATGTTCTTCCACCTCAGCCACCTGTGGAATCACTCTTGCTTTTCAACAACAATATCTGAGAAATCAGGATTTTTATTGGAAAGAGGCTTGTTTTGTGTGACACCTGAGGCTTTCACCTTTGTTCCTGAAAGGAGAATAAGGATACAGGGTTTTTTTTAGGAAATAAAATAGGAAGGTGCATTTTTAAGGCAGGTCTGTGGCTCACCTTGTTTTTTAAAGGACCTTTTCTCCTCCACCTATCCACCATTTTGTAAGCCACCTCAGAAAGGGGTATTTCACTTAAATAGTAAGTATGTAAAAGTGCAATGGCATTCTGAGAGCGGGTTGAGCCAACTGTCTCCGGAAAATTCTCCCACAGGCAGTGAGTTGCTGGTACAGTGGGATGGTCACTGTTTGGGACATCATGACAGGACAGAAGATTATGGAGTTCTCCACCTCCTCAGACCAGTCTATGGAAATCACAGCCATGATCTTTGATCCACCGGAGAGGCGGCTCATCACCGCCCTGAAAAATGGGATTATCAAACTGTGGAACTTCAACAACGGGGCTTGCCTGATGGAGATTCCCTTTGAGGAAAAGACTGAGGTGGGTAGAAGGAACAGGACAGGGCTCAGCCCATCGTGTTTTTGTTCTCTAGCAAAGAGATGTAGGAATTCTAGGGTTCGACATCTTTCTCCAGCCTGGCGCATTCCAGATATGCTAGGCAACAACTCCCATTGCTCCTATCCAGTGTCTGGGGAACTATTTCCCCCAAAAAACTTGGAGGGCACCAGACTGAGGAAAGCTGGTCTGTTGGAAACCCTCAGAAATGTCTGCATCCCATTATTGGCTTTGGAACATTGACAAGAACTGGTAAATGCCACTCTTTGTACATGTACAAACCAATAGACCTTATTTAAGCAGATGTTCACAATTCTCATTCAGTCTTGAGCTTCTCAATAGCCCAGTCAGTCTTTCTGCACTCTGTCATCTCATTCCCATCATCCATCCATGCATTCATGCTCTCTGGAAGAATGTCTTTTTCTTCTGGCTCCCATTCATTCAGGAAGTTGCGCAGTTCTTCCACAACCGATTCCTGGGCGTTCCGTGATTGCCGTTCACATGCAGCTCTCACCCGCCTATGGTTCCTCTCTTCACATGCATCCATAACAACTGACAAGACACCAACCTGCCACCCACCATATAGCTGATCAAGGCCTCCACGTAATTGCCGCTCGTGGTCACTCGTGCCCTTGTGGCCTCCCGACTGGACTATTGCAATATGCACTACGTGGGGCTGCCCTTGAAGAACATTTGGAGGCTTCAGCTGGTGCAGAACGGGGCAGCGTGGGCAGTTACAGCATTGGCTTTTCAGTGCATGTGGCACTGCGGCTTCACAGGCTGTATTGGCTTCCAGTGTGTTTCTGGGTGCAATTCAAGGTGCTGGTGGTCACCTTTGAAGCCCTTCATGGCTTGGGCCAGGCTACTTACTGGACCATCTCTCCCCAGTTGTTTCTACCCGTCCCACCCTGTCCAGCAGGAGGGGCATGCTCTGGGTGCTGTCAGCTAAGGAGTGTTGGCTGGCGAGGCCCAGGAGGAGGGCATATCCTGCCATGGCACCTGCCCTGTGGAACGCCATTCAGCTGAGATTAGGTTAGCCCTGACCCTGCTGGCCTTTTGCAAAGCCCTGAAAACTTGCTTGTGGGCCTGGGCCTGGGGCCCCGGAAGTGTGATAGAACCTGTCTCTTGCCTTTGTTGACGATTATTTTATGAAGTTCGGCTGCTATCTGTTCTTATTTCACATTATGTACTTTATTTGTTTTTTATCTATTTTATTATAAGCTGCCCAAAGTCACACATGTGAGTTGGGTGGTTACAGAATATAAATCGAATGAATGAATGAATGAATGAATGAAGCTTTAGTAAGAGAAGACTTAGAGACTTCTCAGTTTGGCTTATAGGTAGTCCTCGGATTATGATGGCAGTTGGGACTGGTATTGCCATCGCTAAGCAATACTGTTGTAAAGTGTGATGTCGCGTGACCACATAGCTTAGTGATGGCAATCCTGGCAGCCCCAGTTGCTGTTATAACCCCAAGACGTGGGTCATTGAGGACCTCATGTGACCGCAATGTGGGAAGAGGTGGGAATTTCAGGCAAGCAGGCGAGAACTATGGGCGAGAGCTATGGGCAGGTGGACGTGTGCCGTGGGTGGGGGCTACAGAGCATGGGTGGGCAGTTGCTGCAGGCAGGTGCACAAAGTGTGAGTGGGTGAAAAAAGTGGTGGGTGTAGGAATGACTTGCGACCTCCTGCCTTGACTTTGCTTGAGGGAAGCTGGCAGTAAAGGTCACAAATGGTGATCATGTGACCGTGGGATGCTATGACTGTTGTAATTGTGAGGCAGTTGCCAAGCGCCTGAATTGCAGTCATGGGACTGTGGGGACGCTGCAACTGCTGCAACTTCGAGGACCAATCATAAGTCCTCCTTGTTCAGCACCATCGTAACTTTGGTCGCTGAATGAGTGGTTCTAACCCAAGGACTATCTGTAGTGGTTAAAGGCACTGGACTAGAGTGGGAGACCAAGCCTATCGTCTGTATCTCTAGAAGATCCACTTACTGGCACAGACCCATCATATTTACTTCAATATGGACTATAGCTTTGTGCCACTACAACGTTTTATTTTTATCACTAGGTTGTCCATGGAATTAAGCTTCCTATGCTCCTTTCTCCTCCGTTTGCTTTTGTGTCTTCCCAATAGATCAACTGCATCTTTTACATGAACCACATGATTTTTGTAACTGATTGGACCAGGAGAGTGACATGGTACCGGTAAGTAGAAGCCAGCTTGGGTGAACTCTTCCCTTCAGGGTGGGGAGAGAAGAAACAGTGAGGAAAGGAAAGGTTGGGTTGGGTGATACAGCCTCTGCTTTCCACCAACTCATGATGTTCCAGTAACATGGTGGGAAAAAGTCATCCATCCTTCCAGACAGCTGGGGCCATCAAAGGATGAAAAACGTGCTTAAGTGGATTTCAGCTGTCTGTTCAGAGGGCAACTTCTTATGTCTCTAGGTTGGGTTCACGCCTAAATGGGTTTTGCATGTGATGGAAATTCATTGTCTTATCATATATTCTTATGTAATGCATCTTCCTTTTTAAGGGTCTCATTAGAGAATTGGAGATGTTACAGCCACCTGCCCCCCAACACAAGGTTACAAGCCCTCCCCCTCCCAGCTACAGCCTCCATCTGCCTATCTAGAAGGAGTTGTGGATCTAGAAGGGTCTGCTACTCCATCCAGAGTCAGCACGGGATGGTTTCTAGACAAAGAGCAACTCCATCTGGCCAGGATTCAACTTTAGTTTGTTTCTTTTTACTCTGACTCTGGCACTCTCTAGAGCAGCGTTTCTCAACCTCGGCTACTTTAAGACGGGTGGACTTCAACTCCCAGAATTCTCCAGCCAGCCATGCTGGCTGGGGAATTCTGGGAGTTGAAGTCCACCCATCTTAAAGTTGCTGAGGTTGAGAAACACTGCTCTAGACAATGAGACAGGACTTTCACTGCATCACTAGCCAACCTGGGGGTGGGGGTGGGGAGCCAGGGTGATGCATATTTTGGTATCTCAGGTGTAGAGGCCACCTTGCAAACCAAGGTAGCAACTAGGAGGAACCTCCAGTGTACTGACACACCCTCAGGTTGGCTAACTGTACTCAATACTAAAGGCATCTCCCATAGAAATGGATGTTACAGGAGGCCCTTTTCCCACCCTAAGAGAAGCCAGTTTTGGGCAATAGCTAAAGCACTGGACTAGGAGTGGGGAGGCCTGAGTTCTAGCCCAGCCTAGGCACAGAAGCCAGCTTGGTGACTTTGGGCCAGTCCCTCTCTCTCAGCCCGAGTGAGAAGGCAGTCAGGGCTGACCACTTCTGAAAAGGTTGCCAAGAAAACTGGATAGTCCTGTCTATGAAGTCACCAAGAGTCAAGACTGATTTGAAGGCACGTACACGCTAAAGGCAAAGTTACTTATTTATCTTCTCCTTCATTCCCACCCCCTAACCACAACCCCTGCAGCTACTTTTAAGTTTTAAAATAGTAACAAACAGATCCATGGGTCTCCTGCCTTCCTCTCTCCCAGTTTGGTCCAGTGGGTCTGGGTTCAGCTAGGCCATGCTGGTGCTCAAAAGAGAAACTGCATTCTCTGGGCATCTCTTGGATGATCTCTGGCAGGAGCAGGATGGGGGTGATGTGTCCATCCTTGTTCTTCTTGACCTCTTAGTGGCTTTCAATACCATCAATCGTGGTATCCTTCTGGATGGTCTTCGGGAGTTGGCGGTGGGCAGCACCATGTTGTGCTGGTTCTCTTCCTTCCTCTGGGGCTGGTCTCATTCGATGTTGATAGGGGAGGAGAGGTCCAGCCTGCGGCTTCTGTTGTGTGGGGTGCAGCAAGGCTCAATGCTTTCTCCTCTCCTGTTTAACATCTGCATGAAGCTGCTGGGTGAGATCATCCGTCGGTTTGGGTTGAGGTATCATCAATATGCGGATGATATCCATTTGTACATCTGCCCCCCAGGCCATCTGAGCGATGCTGTGTAGGTCCTGTTTTGCATCTGGTTGGGGAACGATAGGCTTCAGCTCAACCCTAGTAACAGTTTAGGATCCTTGGTTCTGGGGACTTTCCATCCCTTGTTCTGAATGGAGTTGCGCTGCCTTAGACGGATCCCATACATAATTTGGGGATCCTCCTGGACTTGCGGCTCCTGCTCAATGAGCAGGTGGCAGCCATGGCCATGAGGGCCTTTGCACAGCTTTGTATTGTGTGTCAGTTGCACCTGTTCCTGGACGGGGAGGCCCTGCTCACAGTCACTCACACCTTAGTCGCCTCCCGCTTGGATTGCTGCAACACACTCTACACGAGGCTGCCCTTGAAGAACATTCGGAAGCTTCAGCTGGTGTAAAATGCAGTGGTGCGGACAGTTATGGGTGCCAGTTGCTCAGCACATGTGACACCTCTGCTCCATGAGCTGCACTGGCTGCCAGTATGCTTCTGGGAGCAATTCAAGGTGCTGGTGGTCACCTTTAAAGCCCTTCATGGCTTGGGGCTGGGTTACTTATGGAGCCATCTCTCCCGTTCTGTTAGATCTGGTAGGAGAGGCATGCTCTGGGTCCCATCCACGAGAGAGTGTCACCTGTCGGGACCCAGCAGGGGAGCCTTTTCTGCCATGGCACCCACCCTCTGGAATATCATCCCCCCAGAAATCAGATGTGCCCTGATCCTGCTGGCCTTTGGCAAGGCATTAAAAACCTGGCTTTGACTTGCCTGGGGCCCTGAGAGCATGGGCGAGCCTGTTTCGTGGTTAGTTTGGGTGTTTATGAATGTTCTCAGCTGCTGTTTTTATGCTATTTCTGTTGTTTTTAAGTTTGGTTGTTTTTTTACTCTGTTTTAACTGTTAGAGTCATGTATATGAGATGGGCAGCCTATAAATTAAATCAATCAATTAATCAATCCCTCTTCAGATGAACCTGGCCTGTGCGGGTGACCTTTCCAGAAAATTGTGCTATGTGGACCATTTCACCTGACTTCTGATGATACGAAAGCCCCTGAGATATGGAAGTTGAGGTCTTCAGAGAAAGACAGAGAAAGATGGCTTTTCTCTCTTTCTTGGGTGGAGGAGATGCATTGTCCTTCCCCTTCTTTACTTCAGCTGTGATGAGATTGCTTCCTCTTTCTTGGCAGGGACTCCAGAGATGAGAACCAAGTGATTGAATGCAAGCACTGGAAGTCCTATCACTCAGAGGACATCCTCTGTATGGATGGTCACAGCAATAAGTTTTTGGCGACATCATCCAGCAATGGAGACATTGTGCTCTGGAACATCAACTCTGGTCAGGCCTTCTGCCGGTTCAACGCGTCTGAGAGTCCTCTGGTGCTTCTTCCCAAGCGGGTGGGTTCAGAGCCATTCCGTGGCAGTGGTCCTCCTGTCCCTTCCCTGGAGCTGGACTTTCATCGTCACACCCAATTCCTGTTTCTGCAATGGAAGCCTTTTTAGCTGGCCTGGGAAGATGCCTGTGGTAGTGCACTGCTGTTTAAGAAATGCTCCAAAGGGGTAATTTAACCTGAGCGCCCCTCCAAAAAGAGTAACAGCAGCATTTCCAGAGAAAGAAATTTGTCTATGAGCTCCCCGCTTTTAAAAATGACCAGTGCATCCGTTCCATCTATCTTTCTCATCCTAAGTTGTGTTTTCGAACTCAACAGTAAGTGGAGTACACGATTAACATCTGTAGACACGCGTGCTGGGGTATTCAAGGAAGCCGTGAACAGTAGCAAACGCCAATTATATTGATTATATCTCTGCTCCACTTCTTGCGTCTTTCCACAGTGCGCTAATTGGGTCATAACAATGTACCTGCGACACCTTTTCTCCCGCTCTTCTGCTGGATCGTTCTAGCGCTCCAGAAATAGGGGCAATTGCTCTTGTCACCCAGCCCTCGTCTGCCTCTTTTCTCACTCTGATCCAGCTTACCACCTTGTGCCATCTTTCCTTAGGCATCAGCCCGAGCCCTGTCCTTCAGCCCCTTCCACGGCCTGGCATTCTCCTATTTTTCCAGGCTAGCGCTCCATGGGTGGGCAATCATCGTATTCCATATTTCTTGGTGGTGGGGGTGGCAGCTGAAGCTCCCTTGCCACGCAAAGGTTAGGGTTCCATAGTCTGTGTGGGCAAGGCTAGGCTGGGGGAGAATTGGGAATTGGCCTTTTTTGCGTGTGTGATGACACCCACTAGATTAAAATAGCAGGTAAAGGGGCTTTCAGTTTTCCCTGGCTGTGAAGTAAGGGGAGGCTCCTGCCGAGGGTCTCTGCTCCTCCAGCAGCTCCACGCTCTGAAAGTCTTACCATTGGGGTTTTGGAAATTCTTTGGAAAAGATACTTTGGAAAGAGCAGCTGGGCATGTTTTCTGCAGCTCCTGCATGAGCCAGAGAACTCCTTAAGGCAGCCACATCTTTCTTTACACTCAGCCGGAAGCCTGTGTAAAGATGCTGTGCGTGCAGCTCTGTAAGTGTATCTTTTGACTCCTTGGGTACCTGGAACGGCCACCCAAGTGCTCTTCCCAAGGCTCATCTTTCCCTTGAAGACTTTGTCACAGTCCCTTATTTATTTTCCCATTCACATCCCTCCTGGGGGGGAGGGGGGAGTCAAGAAAATGAAGATGGCAGCGTTGATCATGCAGCTGTGGCTTCCATCTTGACTTTTTTGCATCCCCTGCAGATTCCCTTGCTTCTTTCGGTGAGCCTTCGTGCTAAGAGGCTGAAATAAAACACTTTCCTCCCATCCTTTCCTGTCCTCCCCATCCTTGGCTGATTCCTCTTCCCTGGGAGTTGGGCAGCATACAAATTTAATAAATTATTATTATTGGTAATGGTAGTGGATTACTCTCTATCAGTGTTTTTCAAACTTGGTGATTTTAAATGTGTGGACTTCAACTTCCAGCATTCCCCAGCCAGCACTGGTTTACCCTCAGCACCGGCTGACGCGTCAGTCTCGGAGGGGTGTCTTGATTCAGTGGCAGATGTAAAAACCATCCGAATCTCCAAACTTCCTTCGTTTGCAAGCGGGAAGACGCTGGCATGCCGGCTGGGGAATGCTGGGAGTCGAAGTGGCCAAGTTTGGAAAACATTGCTCTGTATCTCTCTCTCCATCTCCCTCTAGTTTCTGAGGAATCTGTTCAGGCCTTTTCAGGCCATGGAACCTCAGTCCACAAAACGGTGGCCGTGGCATTCTTTTCACAGGGGAACAAGCCCTGCCCTTTCCATTCGAATGAACTTGTTTATGCCCTTAGTTTCTTGCAGAACCTGTCAAATTCTTGTGGGGTTCTGCAGAACACCATTTGAAAAAAACAGTTATTCAGGGTAGCTGGTAATCAGGTAAACAGGATAATCTGAAAGCAAATGGAAGGGGTTTCATTCGATATTGGGGTGGGGGACAGGCTGCCTGTGTAATCTCTCTGGAAGGGTCTTTCGCATCATGGGTGGCATGATGCCACCTCCAGGCTGGCATGCAAGTAGTCCTCGGGTTATAATGGCAATTGGGGCTGGAATTTCTGTCACTAAGTGATGCAGTTGTAAAGAGACCGCATGGGTCTTTAAGAGAGGACCTCACGTGACCAGAGTCCTAGACAAACAGGCTGCTGGGCGAGAGCAGCGGGTGGATGGGTGAGTGAGTGCTGCGGACCAGCGCTACTGAGTGTAGGCAGGCCAGTAGGGGCTGCGGCGGGCGCTACTGAGTGCGGGTGGGTCAGCGGGGGCCACTACAGAGTGAGGACAAGCGGGGGAGTGCTACATGGGATCTTGTACTCCGTAGCAGAGCTTCTTGGGAGAAAAAGTGGCAGAAGCAACTTACGGGGGCTACTTGTAACCTTCCCTGCAGGCTTTCCCATTGACTTTGCTTGTGGGAAGCTGGCAGGGAAGGTCACAAGAGGCAATCACGTGCCTGCAGGGGCACTGCGATGGCTGCAAGTTTGCGGACTAGTCGTAAGTCTCCCTTGCTCAGCGCTGTCGTAACTTTGAATGGTTGCTGAATGAGTGGTCATAACCTGAGGACTACCTGTAATTAAGGCATCCAGTGCTGAATTAGTGACTGAGTGCTCAGTATGCAGAAAGACCATTTTTTTTTCAAATATCTTTTCTGGAGCTTGTAGGTCTTGGGAACCAAGAACAGCTTCCTTAATAAGTTTCAGCCTTTCCCAACATGGCCACATCCACTTGTGTAGACAGTCTTCAGCCCAACTGGGAGAAGATGAAGGGACTTGCAGACCAACACATTTAAAGTGTTCCAGGGTGGGGATGACTCTTACAAGTTGATTTAAGGGAACGGGCCCTGCCCTGGCTTGAAAACTAAACGATATTTTTTCTTAACCAGGAGTTCTTCTTGAATGCAGAGGGTCCCATTCAGAGCAAAGATGTCAAGAAGGTGGGGGGCTACCAGGGTGAGAGTGAGAAGAAGTATTGGGCCTACCCAAGGGTCGAGCTTCCCTCAAAATCTGTCGTCCTTTCGCGCCCCGCCAGCGCAAAGAGTCTTGTCACGCCTTCAGGTCCCTGCAAGCGTCCATCTTCAGCTATATCTGGAAGCCAGTTAATGAAGCCCCAGGTACTGGTCCTCCTGGAAGATCTGTGGGGCCAGGGGCAGGAGCGGGCTGGCCTTTGTCCTTCCTGTGCTGCTGACTGATGCTGAAACCAGGGACTCCTAAAGAGTTCTTGCAGTGTCTGCTGGAATTGTGATCAGCTTTACATTTCGCAGTGGCCCATTGTGGGTGGGCTTATGCTCTGTCCTTCCTGGGACCTGGGACTGCATTTTCTCCCACATTTTGGGTTCGCATAATACATTGAATGAAGCAAGTAACCAAACAACCTGAGTTTGCGCAGCGCACCCAGAGAAAGCCCCACGCTCTTGGCCTCTCCTCCCCTCGGACAGGGATTCTGCTTCCATACCCAATTCTTACAGAGTCTCCTTAGAAATATTTCTTCAAGAGAAAGGGGTGGGCTTCAAGACCCCCAACCGCAGAACTCCTTCTCCTCTACCACCCAGGAATCCCACAAGGGCCCTTGTTTTGAATTTTTTTATGGCTTTTCTCTCAATCCATGAACTTCACTGCTTACAAAGGAGCTTGCAGAATAGATCTGGAGGCTGAGAAAAGCAGCGGATGGTCTCTGGAGAAGGGGAGGTGGGTGGTGGCGTAATGCTGGGGGTGACCATGTGTCCTATTCCTTGGCAGGCAGCTTGGACCTCCATAGCAAGCATGAAGAGTGGCCTCTCTCTCCACCATTCGGCCACTACGGAGAACTGCCTGCTGAGGAAGGAGACCCTGTCATGGCAAGAGGAGGTAAAAGCTTCCCAAAGAGCTGTGCAGAAGGTCAGTGCTGGTTTCAACCAAGGGTTTGGAAGCACACCGATGGATTTTCTCAGCGTATTCCACTGCTCCTTGGAGAGTAGGCGGCACATTGTGTGTGACTGTGGCGTTGTTAGTTGCACACAGAATGCTTGCCATGGGATAGAAATGTGTCACCTGTTGGGAAGTTTGTGTGAGCGTGTCTGGATAAATATTTTGGGCGTGTTTCAGTAGGGGAGATGCTCTTTTCAGTGGTCTTTGCTCCTACTCCAGTGCATTTGTCTAGGGCAGGGTTTCTCCACCTTGGCAACTTTAAGACGTATGGACTTCAAT